GACAGTGTTCATTTTAAAGGTTACATTTTACCCACAAAGAAATCAAGGATCTGGGATATCTCTATTTCTCAATGCCCAGAATGGGTCTTGGCACAGTGCAAGCGGTCATAAAGGTGGATTCAGTTTAAGAATGAGCATGACCATAGTGTGTCCAAGAGTGGATACGGTTCCTGCCGTTTCATAGGTGATCAGGCGAGACAAACATAATGACATGATTGCCAGGATAATATCCCACAGTAATAAAATTAATGTTTTATGGAGACAGGTAGGAAAGCATAAGGTGTATAATTTAATTTTCAACAGTTCTGTTCATAAGAATGAGAAAAAGTATAGAAAATTTTTGTTAGTATATTACTGTAGCCCAACTGTCACATTATCAATACATATGATAGCCATTGAAGGAAAAAGATTTCACTTTAAAAAAAGACCTGAATAAAGAAGAGGATGGAAATCAGAAGATATTATGGTTGGGAAAAGAACAAAAATAAGGCTGGGAAGGTGGCTTAGTGGTAGAGCGCTTGCCCTGCATGCATGAGGCCCTGGGTTCATTCCTCAGCACCACATAAGCAAAAAGAAAAAAGCCAGAAGTGGCACTGTGGCTCAAGTGGTAGAGTGCTACCCTTGAGCTGAAGAGCTGAGGGACAGCGCCCAGGCCCAAAGTTCAAGCCCCAAGACCGGACCCAAAACAAAAAAAAGAACAAAAATATTTTATGATAGCAATTTCCTCCGTTTCCTAAAGTCTTTGAAGAAACAGAAGTTCCTAACAAGAACTCAGGGGAGTATACACTTCTCACCAGATTTGGAGCAGTGTGTGAAATGTCCAGAACTTCAGTATGCCAACACAGAGAAACATCAGTGCCTCCTGAGAGATGCAAGTTTCCTGGCCTTTGGAGATTCCTTGGGCATGACTCTGTCCTGGATGACTCTCTGTTTCTCTATGCTAACTGCTGCTGAACTTGGGATATATGTGAAAAACAGAGACACTGCCATTGTCAAGGCCAATAATCAGACTCTCAACTACATCTTGCTCATCTCCCTCATCTTCTGTTTCCTCTGTTCTTTGCTCTTTATTGGCTATCCCAACACAGTCACCTGCATCTTACAGCAGATCATGTTTGGGGTTGTATTCACTGTGGCTCTTTCCACAGTGCTGGCCAAAATGATGACTGTGGTTCTGGCCTTCAAGGTCACTTCTCTAGGAAAAAGAATGAAGTGGCAGCTGGAATCAGGGGCTTCTAAATTCATCATCCCCATCTGCACTTTCATCTAGCTGACTGTCTTGTGGACTCTGGTTGGGAACCTCTCCTCCCTTCGTTGACACAGATGCACACTCAGAACATGGCCACATCATCATTCTGTGCAACAAGGGCTCCTTCACTGCCTTCTACTGTATCCTGGGATACCTGGGCTCCCTGGCCCTGGTCAGCTTCACAGTGGTTTTTTTGGCCAGGAACCTGCTTGACACCTTCAATGAAGCCAAGTTCCTGACAGCATGCTGCTGTTCTTCAGTGTGTGGCTCAACTTCCTGCCTGTCTACCACAGTGCCAAGGAGAAAGTTATGGTGGCAGTGGAGGTCTTCTCCATCTTGGCCTCTGGTGCAGGGCTCCTTAGCTGTATATTTTCTCTAATATGTTACATCATCTTGTTAATGTCCAATAGAAATTCTCTGCATGGCATCAGGGATAAAAGACATAATAGGAGAAATTAGATTTCTTATGACTTTCTCATATGGGTGCTTAGTATTTAGATTCTATCTAACTCTATATTAATTTTCCACTGTTATAGTAGTATGTACTGTGGAATTCTTACTTTAATGAATCAGAATGTATTGCTCATTTTTCTAGTAGTGTTAATTACACATAGTGGTGGTAACTATTTGAATATGCATTTTTCTTGTATAATTTTGCTTCCTCCTACATAATATACAATTAATTATATTACTGTTTCTTCTCAGTTTCTTTTCACTGCTGTCTTTCTCAATAATTTTTCTAAATTTTCAAATATACTAACTTCCTATCTTTTTTGGGGGGGTCCGGTCGTGGGGCCTGAACTCTGGGCCTGGGCGCTGTCCCTCAGCTCTTCAGCTCAAGGCTAGCACTCTACCACTTGAGCCACCTTCTTGCATAGTCCTCAAATCCATTTCAATTATGTTTTTCTCTACACAAATTTCACCTTTGAGGGGCTGGGCAGGTGCCACAGTGGTAGAGCGCTTGCTTTGCATGCATGAGGCCCTGGGTTTGATTCCTCAGCACCACATAAGCAAAAAAAGCCAGAAGTGGCACTGTGGCTCAAGTGGTAGAGTGCTAGCCTGGAGCTGAAGAGCTGAGGGGCAGTGCCCAGGCCCAGAGTTCAGGCCCCACAACCGGACCCCCGACCGGCTCGCAAAAAAGTTTCACCTTTGAACATGATCTTAGAGACTATTTAGTTCAATGCTTGTATATTTATACTCACACCTTTCCTTTTTTCAATAATCTTGAGTCTCTTTTGTGGGACCTTTATCCATGTATCTGTCTCTGTTTCTCTCTTTGCAACTCTCCACTCCTTCTTTCAGTTCCTTTTCCCTTTCAACCTGCTTCCCTCATTTTGTGGGAAATGTCTTGTATATACTACACAAAAAGCTCTTCAGATTAAGATTACAATGTAGAAGACTTTTTGACTCTTCTCTTAAGATGAAAGTCTGTAATGCATCATAGTTTGTTCAACCATGGCTAGACATAACCTTTCGATTTATCGCTGTTAATCACACTTTGTTAACTTGGTACATAGAAATTTGTGTGCTAAGTGTACAAAAGATTATTTCTTGGAATGTTACCATTTCTTACAATCTGTTGAAACATGAACATTTTTTTCTGTTGCATGTCAAAATGCTTAATATGATAAGAAAATCATTACTTATTTTTTCAAATCAGGTGACTTAGTGTGTTCTGTATTATTTCTACAGACATATAGGCATAATTACACTCATTTCTTTTCTGCTCCAATGTTCACTACATGTGTCTTCTGAAATCAATTAAATGTATTTAGGCATGCTTCAACATAGGGCCTAGACTCTCCCTAGGATTTTCATCCTTTTTCCCTTGAACCACACCTCAATTTCTAGCTTTTGCATCTTTAATTGGAAATAAGAGTCTCATGGGTTTTCTTGCTCAGGAAGACTTCAAAACTCTTCTCACATTTACACTTCTAGTAAATAAATGACAATAAAACTGACTATTGATTTCTATTAGTTAAAATTTTAGTTGAAAAATAGCAATGTATAGGCAAAATATTTTGTGCATGATCTTTCTTGGAGGGCTTGCTCTTGAACAAA